AGCCCGATGCGGGACTCGATCCAGGGACTCCAGGATCATGACCTGAGCCGAAGGCAGTCGCTTAACCAACTGAGCCACCCAGGCGCCCTTATTTTATTTTTTAAAGTAATCTCTACACCCAAAGTGGGGCTCGAACTCATGGCCCCGAGATCAAGCGTTGCATGCTCCACCGACTGAGCCAGCCAGGCGCCTCTGAGAAGAGGACATTTAAGCTGCAGCCTGAAGGAGGGAGGTTGGCAGGGGCCCGCGGGGCTTGGAAGGTGACGGTTAAGGAGTGTGGATTTTACCACAGACGCCAGGACACTCCCTAAAGGGTTTTAAGCAGTGAAGTGACATAACATCCTTTACATTTTCTGGCTCCCGTGTACAGAGAGCACATCGGAGGGGTGAGTGAGGGGGCAGAACAGATGGAGGCTATGGCATAAATACACTGTGGGCCTGGTGACGGTTTGGACGAGGTGGAGGTGGTGGGGATGGGGAAAAGAGAAAAGGAGATCCGCTAGGAGGGAGCGCTGACACATCTTGGCAACGCGCTTAGGTGTGGGGAACGAGAGAAAGACGGACGTTACAGCTGCATTCCTGCCTTTAGGATCTGAGTTATTAAAAGGTGCCACTGACTGAGATGGGAAGGACCAGGGAATGCTCAGGTTTAGGAGGCAGAAAGTTAAAGAGTTTCAGTTTGGGCATCGCCGAGGACCATATCAGGGGAATTCAGAAATGAGCAAGATGAGAAGGAGATGAGAATGGCAGCAGTTGGAGGAGAGGAGAGTCCCAGGCAGAACACCCGCACAGCAGAGTGGAGGGAGAGCGGACGAGGATCCCAACCCGGGTGCCCACAGAGGGGCAGGAGAGGAGGGCTGAGAGGAGCAGAGAAGGGGAGGGCGGCTGGGAGGTCGAGCAATGGCCCGGATTGGGGACCAAGGCCGGGAAGTCACAGGTGACTGAGGCGGCTCCCGTCCTAAGAGGAAGTGGCTTGTTGGCCAGAAGCTGGGAGGCCTGGCATCTCAGCGGTTTGTCAAACAGGCAGCTGAGAATAACTAAACTCAGAACTGAAGTCAACTTGCTAGAAAACGGCCGGGGAAGTGGTTAAACGTGCCAAAGAAGAGGACAGAGAAAGCAGGCGATTTGCACCAGTTTGGGCCGGCCTCCGCGTTTCCTAGGCCAACGGGGGCTCGCCGACGCCACAGGAGAGGCGCTCCAGAAGCAAAGACAGAAGCCGCTGTCACGAGGGCCCAGGAAGAAAGAATTCCAGACAGGCTTGTTCACAAAGTCAAATGATTTCGAAATGTCTGAAGATGAAAGCCAAGAGGAGGCCACTGAATGTGGCAGCTCAGAGGCCACTGGTGGCGGCGGGAGTGGGGAGAAGGCAGGTGTCCAACGCTAACTCGGAAGTAGGAGAGGAGGGGAAAGACACCAGCACGGCTCACTGACGCATGTGGCAGTGAGCGAGGAGAATGAGGAGATTCACAGTCTGTCACGACCCCTCTCGGACCCATGTCCCCGGGGCGCCCAGCACCCGCTCACCGCCAGCTCCTGCCGTATGTGTTCTGTGGTTGCCTCCAGGGCCCGTGTGCCTTTGGTAGCCTCATCTTCCACGGCTTTCACGGTCTTGAGCAACGATGTCACATTGGTCACCATCACCTGGAGGCATCAGAGGAGTTGCGGGGGGTCACGTTAAGGAACAGGAGGACGTGCAGCGATCCGCCCCTCTGCTGATGCTGTGCTCGTTCCCCTCCAACCTTGGCAGAGTTCTTGAGCTGCCACACAGCAGGGTCGTCCCCGACTTTGCCAGCCGCGGCCTTCGTGGCACTGATGAGGTCTCCCAGGGCTTTGGCCACATCTTTCACTGCGTTGATCAGCACTACCTGCGTGAGGGAGCGCAAGCTCTGGTCCGTGGGAGAGACAGGGGCAACAGGTGGTGAGTGCTTCTGACCAGAAGTAGGGGTGTCGGGCGGCTACCTGTGTCTCAGGGTCCTCGGCTCCCAGGCTGGCTGCACCCAGCTTGACGACGTCAGCGAGGCGGGTGATGGTGGCCACGGAGGACTGGGCAGCCTGGGCTAGCTTCTCCTGGCTCCCGGCCGCGTTCTGCACCAGGACCTTGGTGTCTTCCACCAGCACCTTTGCGGTCTTCAGAATGCCCTCCCTGAGGGAGGGCCCGGCTTAGTCAGCCCTTCACAGGCCTGCCCCAGCCCCTGCAGCCCCT